TCAGAGGGTTTGGGACCCCACAAGCCTGCAGATAAAGAAGTTTTGGTGTTGGACTTTGGTGTTTTGATGGGTTTTTTCTTTTCTTTCCTCTGATCTTAGCCTGTCCCCAGAGAGCAAAGACCCTGGCTCAGTGTCAGTGCTTTAATTGGGCTTGATCAGCGGCAGATGCCATTTGCAGGCTGATGAAAGATGGGGAAGGAGCTGGTGCTTTCCTGCTTCACTCACACAATGGAGCCTGCAGGACACGAGGCTGCTTTTGACACCACATCTTCCCCCAGGGTCTCTCGCAGCGCTTGCAGACCATTAAAAACCCACATCAAACAGCTTTTCTTCCATTGGAGCTTCGTGGCAGCAGCCAGTCCGCCGTGTTGAAACCCAGCTGGCAGCTGCTGGGATGGAATGAAAAGAGTTCATTAGGGGAGCCCCCGCTACCCCTGGCTTCGAGGTGATGGAAGTTGAGCAGGGAGCCAGGGGGGTGGCACTTGGGTGCCTCACTTGGCTGCGATTTAACCACTGAGCCAGCCGGAGCCAGGCAAACTTGGGGGTTTCAGTGAAGGAGAAGCAGGTTGTGTGCTTGAACCAAGTCACGTTGTCAGCTCAGCTCTTTGAATCACCCAGACACTAACCTGAATAGAAAACACAGTGAGCTTCAGTTATTGACTTCTGTATATAAGGGTGGGGGAATGGCAGCCGCAGGGAACAGTGTATTCCCCCCCCCCCACACACAGTAACCTCTCAAACCAGCACTGCAATAGATTGGGGTTTTCTGGAGGAGCTCCTGGTGAGTGTGCCTGCACTGTGCTGCTGGAGCATGTGTCCCAGGAGCTTTCCCAGTGCCCAGGCTCAGCTCCCAGCTCCCTTCACTCTTCACTGAGGCTCAACTCAGCCTCTTGGTCCTTTCCAGGTCTCTTTCTACACAAGGGTGAAGCTGGAATCGTTGTTTCCTGATGCTCCCCATAGCAAAAAGGCCAATGTCTGGATGCTGAAAGTAGGGCAGCGAGAAATACCCAGGGAGGTGACATGAGGCACAGCAACAGCCTCTGGTTGAAAGAGGAGAGCAGAGGCTGGCGTTCAGTTACCCGTGCTGTATGCGTGGGCCTGAGAGCCAGCTTTCCTTTTGCCCTCCTTGGGTATCACCTCAAACGCAGGGACATGGCAGCCGTGAATGCTCGCAGGGTTTCAGTGGCACTGAGGGAATCGAGGTGAAAACTCTGCCTGTGTCAGCCTTAAACCTGCCCCTGCCGTGCCCCAGCGCAGGGAACCCCGCAGACAATGCTGGCTTTGTCTGCCTCCCTTCTCCTCGGCGCGGGGAGATGCCGAAGCCAAACGTTTCACCACAAGATGCATTAATTGCCATCCAGCTCCCTGGGGTACGGCCCAGATGCCAGGAAGCAGGGAAAAAGTAAGCACGTTATTGCATGGAAAGTGCATCCGTTGTTAAATGACTCCAAGTTGCAATTACTGCAGCTAAAAGTTCTTGATTAATGTCTCCTAGACCTGTGCTTGGAGCGGTGTCAACTTGGACCGTGCTAAAGAAGAGAGACCCAGAAACTGTGGGGTGAAGTCAGCTTCCCACTTAGTGATACGGGATGTGTCCTCTGCTCCTGTAACCCTGCTCCATCCCTGTTTGTCACCGTGTTCTTCACCCGTGTCAGGCCTCACACCCTGTGTGTCCTCAGCTGCTCATTCAGCGCCTCGTGGGCCCCGCTCCATGAGCCTGCAGCTAATGCTTGGGTTTGGCATCCGCCTGGATGAAAATGAGCGATCCAGGGACAGCTGGTTGGGAGCTACAGCAAACTGCAAACAGTCTGACACAAGCAGCAGTCTGGTTCCCCCGCATTCCCTGTAAATCTGGCAGGCTAACACCCTTGATCAGCTCCAAAAACAAACACTGCTCAGCACGGGGGGGGGGATAAAAGAACATTAGAGTCCAATAGAGCTGTAACAGAATCATCCATCCTCAGTGGCAGGACATGGATGGAGCCCAAAGTCGCTTGGTGTCTGGATGAGCTTAAGGAAACTGGAGCTGTGGAGTTGCTCTGCGGAAGGGGCACCATGGCAGCAGAGCATTAGGACACGCGGTCTCTGGGTCTGCAGTTGCTGCCCTTCTGCTTTGAGTCTCCTGGGAAGGACTTTGCAGCATCCCCGCCTGCGGACAAGCCCGGAACCCAAATTAGCACTGGAATGAGAGCGCTGGTATTTTTAAACCAGGGCGTGTGGTTTCTGCCTTTCTTTTAATAGGTGTCCGGGGGCAGGTTCTTCTCACAGCTCCATCCACCCCTGCCTCCGAGTCCCAATGCACCCCGCAGCACTCGATGGGCCACGGAGCTGCCTTCTGCCTTCCAAGCCCTCCACAGTGCCCTCGAAGCAGGTTCCATTGGGAAGCTGGATGCTCGTGCAGCACACGGTCCCACTGAGCTCCAACATGACCTGTGTGCTGAGCTCCTCCAGCGCCTCAATAGCTTCCTGTAGAAATAAAGAGCCATTTCTGAACCCCGGGCTCCACGTGGCACCGGCTGAACGTGCACGGTGAGCGCTTGCTTTGATATGTTTAACATCTGATGCTCCAGTTTCAAAAGCCCTTGGAAAGTTTGAGATGGAAAATTGCTGCAGAAAGGCCAAAAGCGCTGGAGAAGTGAAACAATAATTCACTGTTCTGCTGCTCTGCCAAATGGAAAGAAACCTTCTCAATACAGCATAAAATAATACAGAGGGAGTGACCTCCTGATCTACGCACAGGTGGGGGCCAGGGTTGCTTTGTTCTGACCCCCTGACTCAGGGCAAATTTAGCTTTGAATAACTCACTTGACTTTCCTGACTCCTTCCTCACAGCTGTGAAAGGTGGGTAATGCTCGTTTCCCTATGGATTGTGAGGAAGACTGGTTACTTATTTTGTAAAGCTTTGACAGATTAATTCTTAGTATAGGTGGAAAAACACAACTCTTCCCACATAACATGAGCAGCAATTACAGAGCTGGGAAAGGCTCAAGAGCTTTCAGCATTCAAACCCCTCCCAAGCCTCCTTAGAGAAAGAGGTTTCACCTGAATGGGGAGGCTGAGGGGTTTGGTAGGAGGCAGCTGGAAACCAGGGAAACGTCATCTAAAAGTCAAATAACTGAAAGGATGTTGAGCACCAGAGAGGGCTGGTGCAGCTGGGTAGAAATGAAACGAACTATTAGCTGCTCTGCAAGACACCAGCATGGGGACTGTTCTGTTACAGGAGAAATTCCGTGGTGGCTCCTTTGTATGGTGGGTACCGCATGAAACGGCGCAGAGCACCTCACAGACCTCAGGGCTGAGGCTCTGCAAGCGGGAGAGCTCTTCCTTTGTACTAAACCTGCTGCTTTTTCTACACGGCGTGGTTCTTTGCCCCGGGGAGGCTGATGAAGCATCTCAGGGTTTACCAAACCCTGTGATGCTGGTGGAGGAGGATGGTGGAGCACAGAGAGGAAGGTTTGGTGCTCGGCTGAGGGATACCTGCCTCAGCTCCAGGGCTCCTGCCTTTCCCAGCAGACTCTGAACTGTCATGCAGTGGAGGGGAACAGCTTTCACAGGGAGCGGCCATGCAGCAACAGCCCCTCGTGACAGGTTCCCCAATCTACTGGGGACATCGGGCCCAGCTGGTGTCAATTTAGACCTCAGGGCAGCTTCCAGTATCTGAAGGGGGCTGTAGGGATGCTGGGGAGGGACTCTTCATTAGGGACTGTAGTGACAGGACAAGGGGTAATGGGTTAAAACTGAAACAGGGGAAGTTTAGATTGGATCTAAGGAGGAAGTTCTTTCCTGTGAGGGTGCTAAGGCACTGGAATGGGTTGCCCAAGGAAGCTGTGAATGCTCCGTCCCTGGGAGTGTTCAAGGCCAGGTTGGACGGAGCCTTGGGTGACCTGGTTTAGTGTGAGGTGTCCCTGCCCATGGCAGGGGGTTGGAACTGGATGATCTTAAGGTCCTTTCCAACCCAAACCGTTCTGTGATTCTGTTTCTTACTCCGTTGTGAACACAGAGCCCCAAGACTGACACTTGTGGAAGGTCTTTGTGCCAGTCCCATCTACGGGATTCCCTCCTCTCTATCCCACCTACGTTGCAGGGGTGGTGTGCTCTGCGGTACAGGCTGCAATTAATTTAAGGGCGATTACTCAGGGAGGTTCCTGGACAGGGCTGGAGCGCAGGGTCCCGCCTGGCTCCCCGCGGTTACAGTGACACATGGATTCCCAGCTTCGCCTGTCCCACCCCATGATCAGCCGGATTCCTTGGACTCCCTGAGCGAACCTTCCCCCAGCTCCCGGGAAGCGTGCAGCGGCGGCAGGAACGGGAATGAAAAGGACTTTGTTCCACGGGATGCCCGGCCCTGCAGCGCCGGGGCTGGGGCTGACAGCAGTTTTTCCTGCTCTGGATGAACAATTCCAGGGCATTCAAAGATGAGATTTGCCTAAAGACATCTGGTTCTGCAGAGCCGGGGGTGCCTGGAGAGACGGGAGGTTTTGTTATTAGCAGCGAGCACTCTGTCGGTAACCGCCCCATCGGGCCTGCATTTGGGTGCTTATTACAGGGCGCTTGGTGCCAGCGCTGGGGCACAGACAGCGTTTGAGCCGCCGGGGCAGGAGCTGGGCCCGAGGGAGCCCCGGTGCCACCCCGGGGCCTCTCCAGCGCCGGTGCGAGCTGAGGCGGTCGGAACAAAGCCGTGGCGCTGCCGGGGGAGCAAACCCGCCGTGCGTGCCATGGCGGGGCCCCGTGCGGGGGCTGTGACCGCCCGCTGCCGTTTGAACGCGCTTTGCAACGGGCAAACGCCCCGAGCTTTCACACACCGCGGGCCTGCGGCCTCCGCCAGGCCCGGGCCCAAGCCGGCCGCTCCCACACGTTCGCTCATCGGGCACCGCTCCGGCCCCACCGGGACCCGCCGCCCCACACGGGCCCCGGGGCCCCTCGGCGCCGACCCCGCCCCATCAGGCCCCGCCCCGCCGGGCTCTGGCCCCGCCCACCCCCGGAGCAGGCCCCGCCTCCCTGGTCTGGCGCCCGGGGCGGGGCGGGCTCAGTCGCGCGCAGGCGGTCGCACGGTGCCGGTGTCGCGGTCCCGGTCCCGGTGGCGGCGGCGGGGCTGGAGCATGGCGCTGTCCGTGCCGGTCAACGGGGTCAAGGAGGGCGACAGGGAGCCCGTCATCGAGCTCTTCGTCAAGGTGAGCCGGTGGCGGCGGGGGGGGGTCGGGTCCCGTCCGCTCCCGCCGCGGCTCCTCTCTCGGCGCGCGCTCCGGCCGTTGCGCGCCGCCGTTTTCCCGCCCGCGGGCTCCGCGTTCGCGCGGGGGCTCCGTTTGGACCCCGTTTGCAGCCCGCGGGGCTCCGCTCAGGGCGGTGCCGGGCCCGGCCGCGGGTGCCGCCCCGCCGCGCACAAAAGGGCCTTTGGGCGGGGAGGGGCCGGCAGGGACCGGCGCGGGGCCGGGTGTGCGGGCGGGCGGCAGCGCGGGCCTCGGGCAGGGCCCCTCGGGGAAGTTGCCGGAAGATTCTTCCCCAGCGCCCGGCGGGACCGGGACCGGCACCGGGCGTTGCTCACCGGCCCCAGCCCCGCGCCCGGAGCAAAGCCGCGAGTTCCTGTCCCCCAGCCCCGCGCTCGGGTGGAGCCCCGCGGGTGGAGGCATCGCCGGGGCTGCTCCCAGGCGGGGAGGACGGGGCTGCGTTGCGCTGCCCTGGTCCGGCGCTGATACCGCAGATCGCGTTTGCCATCTCGGCATGATTTGCGTTCACGTACTGCGGTATGATGCAATGTTTTGTATCCTCCAGGGCTCTAGTGATGCGGCATCTTGCTTTTACCTCATAGCTAAAGTGTGGGGAGTAAGTGGTGTCAGCCTCTGCTCTCTGTGCTTCAGCTCACTTGGAAGAAAGCCTCTAGAGAAGAAGTATTTTACTTCTTCAGATGAAGTTTCTCTCCGTTGCAGTGAGAAAATAATGGGAAATCTTCAGCTGGGATCTTGGGCATCACTTAGTGTAACACGATCAACATGAAAACTTCCGGTAGATTAGGTGGAGCCTTGAAAATAAGTCATTAAATAGAGATTTTATATCTTAAACGGCACTCTAAAAATAGTGAAGTTTTTTCCATTTCAGACCCCTAAGTAGCATTGGGAGGCAGTAACGGGAAAAGCATTACAGTGGAAGATTCCAGACCTGATTTTACTGCGAATATTGAGGTTCTTGGTGTCGAGGTTAGAACTCCCTGGTACAGCAATTAAGTTACACATCGCTTGGAATTATTTATAGCAGTACTTGTTCTGTTTGCCAACTTCTCTTCAGCTGTCCTGAAGTTTGTTGGCCAATTTTTCTTCTTTTTAAACAAATGAGAGCAGTGATTGATGGCAGGAGGATCTGGGGGGAGAAGCTTCATTCATCTGTTTAATGAGGATGTTTTATGCATGAGGAGTAGCATGGAAGAAGGTGTAAAATGAGTTGTGAGAAAGATGTGTTGGTTCTAAATCGGTATTGGACCAATAAACATGTAAGAGGATGTGAAAGGGGAGTTTTTCTGTCTCTCTCAATTAAAACTTCTTTACTGGCATGGGTTTAAGGAGGCTGTATTTCGAATTATCAGTATTACAGCATCTCCCTCAAGGAAGCCTTTTCCCAGTGCTAGGAGTGACTGCTGCCAGCTGTGTGCTGTCTGTCTGCTAGAGTTCAGGTTAAAGAAGCAGTTCTTCTTGTCTGCCTTTGTGATCTTCAGGTAAAGGTCATTTCCCTGTAAATTCCTGCAGAGGAAGAACACTCCCACCCAGCAGACAGACCAGAATAGTTTCATCTGGGTGTTGCTGCCTGTCCCACGCTTTATTGAAGCCGTTCAGTGTTATCAGAACAGGTTGTCAAGGTCTTCTTTGCTGCCTGTCTCCTTGAGACGGTCACTTCAGAAAATGCCCAAGAACATGTATGGTTGTTCAATAGAACTAACAGTGGCTGCTTGAAGAGCAGCAGATTTTGGCTTAGTGATTCCCCCCCGTGTAAATGGGAGGCTCAGTGTCTGCTTTTCAGTTGCATGGTTTTTACTTAGAAAACATCTGAAGTTTCTGAGTCCCTCTCAGAGTATTTCCCCATGCATCCCCATGATCACTTCCCAGAGAGCCCGTGGGGTCTGGCTTCTACCTGTGCACTGTTAGTCAGCAAAGCTCTGCACCGAGAGGTAGTGGAAAGGCTTCTTGACCAAAAAGGAGCCCTCTGCCAAGTGCCTGCGGCTGAAGGGTGGTGACTGCATGACCTGTGTACAAAGGATTGTAGCAGCCAGACCGAGATGAAACAAAGGTATGGATTAAAGCTTGAGAAACAGACCTGTGAAGCAGGAGAAACTGTTTGGCTTCCTGCCCAAAATGTTGGGCTCGAATCTTGTTAAATTGTGATCAGTAACAAAATAGGATGGGCACAGCATGGGGAGGAGTGCACACGTGGTTGGGTTTCAGCTGTGAATAACTACGTAGGGCTGTTTGTCACCAGCAAATTGCTTTGATTTAGTCAAGAGCAAGTGTATCTTGCTGTAAGTATGATCCTCATAGTCTGTGATAACACACGTGCAGAATTCAGGTACTTGGGTAAGAAAATGCATTGCCATGCTGAAATGGAGGTGAATGATCTGTTCCCTGGTCTGCTGTAATGAGCAGCTTCAGCAGGTTTCTCGTTGCGGTGCTGGTGGGCTGCCTGTGGTCTCTTGAGCTAACTGTAAATGTTTCTGAAGCCTTTCCTGTGGGAGCTGATGAGGAGGAGCCGGTGATGGATCCTTTTTCGTTTGGATGCCTCCTGCGCTCACATGTTTTATTAATGAGGGAGGCCGCTTCCATTGTCTCACAGGGATGTTTTTATGTGCCCTGGTGGCATTTTAGAGTGAAGGCTGCTGTTATGAGTGTGCACGTGGAGACATGAGCGTTGCGATCTGAATGCACTTCAGCCACTTGTAAGAGCTGCAATTCAGTTGAGTGTGTGTGGATTTTATTGTAGATAAAACATGTGGTGGACAGACTCGGCCAAATAGAACCACTCATCTGTGGAAACCACAGGACAGAGCTGAGGAAGCTACTCATGCAGGTTCTTTAGGACAGTGTACAAAGGAGATGGGGATGGAAGCTGCTGCAAGCTCAGCCCTTGGTTTTAAAGGACAGTCAGGGTTGTGTTCTCCTGGTGGTAGCAGGGTGAAGACACAGGTATCAACAAGTTAAAACAAGAAACCCCACAAACAAGAAATCCATAGTTGGAGATCTGCTGGCATGAGACTGGCTATGGGAGATGCGGGTAACCATTGAGGAAGCTGCTCTCCCCATATGACATGGGTATACTTGCAGATCAGTTAGACCTTGGATTTCTGGCAGCTTCCAGTAATGTCATTGTGAAACTGAGCACCTGTTTTGAAAATCAGAGAGCATCCACGTCTGATTCCCTGTGAGCGGTGCTGTCAGTAGAAAACCCCTGCGTCTTCCCATTGAACAAATCCCCTGCTCTGAACGCTCCCAGTGATCATCCAGGAGCTTGGCTGCTCTTGTCTCTCTGAACTAAACAGGCATTTGGCAGGTGAGTTGTTGTGGTCTGGGCTCTGGGTCTGCTTTGTTCAGTTCAGGGTTGGAGCCGGGGTCAGGAGCTGCAGGATGTGTGCTGGGGATCAGCTCAGGGCTGGGTGGGAGGAGTGAGTTGTGTGAATCATACACGTTCAGGTCTGCCGTTGTTTCACGGTTGACTGTGTGTCCTTACATTGCTCTGGAGCAGTGTAGCTGCTGTAGGTTGGTTTATTACAAACCATCCCATGTTCTCATTCATCTTTTTTCCAACTACAATATAACTGTAAAATAAAAAGGACCATTGATGTGAGGGAGTAACAGGAATAGAGACACGCAGCATTCCTCCCAGAGCAGTCTTGCCAGGGGCAGGCTTATCGCTCGATAATCCTATTACATCAGTCTCCTCCTTAGGTACCAGGTCATCCTTTTCAGGTTTGAGGTAATAAGCCCAGCACCTGAGAACTTGCTCGGTCTGCCTTTGATGGGTTTTTGGTAGAGACAGCAAACTTCCGTGGGTGGCTTGGTTCTCGTGAGCAAACACTGGAGCATTGTAAAGGATCCCTTTATAAGCTGAGGCGTAACCGTCTTCTTATATCCTGTGCTCAGCTGTTTAAACCCTGCCTTTTCCTCCTTTGGCCAGCAAACTGTATTCCCTTAAATTCTGCCTGGGAAAGTTCTCGTCGCCAGGAACATCCTTGGCTTTTTGATTTGAATCTGATTGCCAATGCAGAAACTGGTGCACTTGGTACGGTGCGGTTTAGTGTAAATGCGCTTTTGCAGCCCATTGGAAAGTCAGCTCCTTGGAAAACTCCTGGCAATCATTTTCAAAGGGATTACACAGATGGGTTAGCTTTTTCTTCAGTCAGAAATTGCCTCTGAGTGCACCTGAGCAGTAATGGTCTTATCCACGGACATCTATCCTCCCCTTTCCAATGCCTAACACATAGATCAGACTGTCAAGAGAACTTGGGGTTTTCTTTGCAGCTGAATTCTGTCTGGCCCAGTGTTCACAGCTGGGAAATGCCTCTGGCTGTGCCCTGAAGGCCTGTAGGGGAGAGAGAAGGTGATGTGAGGGGCATATATGGTGGGATGAGCTCTAGGGGCTGGAACCTGTCCAGTGTCGGGTAAACGTCAATGGAGGATCTGAGCCCTCCGAGTCTTGTTCCTGATGCTCTTGTGTGTCAGAGCGTGATTGTGTGCACGCAGTAAGGAATTCCCAGAACACATCTCCAAAGTTCTCCTGAAGGAATCTGAAGGGAATGAGACTCCTCCTAACAGAGGTGTCTTGTCTGTATGGAAAGATAGCTGCTGGCTGGGAGGTGATGTGTAGACATGGGGAATACTGATGTAAATTCTGTTTCACTGTTTGGAAATGGGTGGAAAGGTCTGGTAATCTTCCAGTGGGCAGCACCGTGGCACTATTAGCTTCCTAAGGAGTTGGTAATCATTACCCTGAGCCTGCAGTGACTCAGTCACTGTCTAGTCTTTCACTGGTTATCCTGACCTAATCTTGTGGAAGGAAACAGTGAGGCAAGAGAGTTCTTCATTTGAAAAGTATGACTGTGTCTTACAGTGTGAACAGGGTGAGCAGGGAAGCTGGTTCTGGAGCTGAGCTTGTGGATGGCTGATGGCCGTGTTCTCTTGCAACGCGGTGTTTGGGA